AGCAGAGAGTTGCACCACTGCACTCCAGCACTTGAGCGACAGAGGCAAGGACTCTGTCTCAATTTTTTTTAAAAAAACAAAAAAAAAAAGTCAACGGCCCGTCACGGTGCCCGCTGTCACAGCGCTGTAATCCAGCACTTTGGGACGCCGAGGCAGGCAGATCACGAGCGGTCAGGAGATGTAATGCATTTCTGTAACATTGGTGAAATCCCGTCTTTACTACCAAATACAAACAAAATAGCGGGCATGGGGGCAGCGCCTGTGCAGTCCTGTACTGGGAGGCTTGGGCAGGAGCATGGCGGTAGAACCTGGAGGTGGAGCTTGGCAGTGAGTGGAGATCGAGCCACTGCCACTCAGCCTACGGTGATCGAGAGCGAGACTCCGTCTTCAAAAAAAAAAAAAAAAAAGTAAACAATTTGGCCAGCCTGGCCAACATGGGTGAAACCCGCCGTCTCTTACGTAAACATACAAAAATTAGCCGGGCGTGGTGCAGGCGCCTGATAATCTCAGCTCTAGGGGGGCACCAGACAGGAGAACTCGTTTTGAACCCGGGATTCGGAGGTCGTGCAGTGAGCCAAAGATCGCGGCATCGCAGACTCCAGCTCTGCGGACAAAGTGAACTTGTGTCTCAAAAGAAAAAAAGAAAAAGAAAAAAATGGTAAAAGACTAACGACCTAAAATGGTAAAAGACTAACAACCTACATGTCCCTCAATAAGGAACCTGTGAAATTATGAAAAATACATTCAATGGAATACCATGTAGCCATGAAAAAAAATGAGTTAGATCTATATGTTCTGACTTGTAAAGATCTCCAATATATATTAAATGAAAAAGGGCACAGTGCAAGATATGGATGGTATGATTCCAGTTGTGTACACACACAGACACACACATCACATTTGCTAATTATGATTTTTAATAATATACTGCATATAAATAATACATACTATATCCCGTATATATGTTTAGTCTCCAGTGTCATGTATTCCCTGAGAAGACTGCATCTGAAGAATGTAAGGTGCTTGCCTAAAGTCAGAAGAGTCTCAGCACGTTGACCTGAAGGGTCACTCAGCCAATTACCTCCAAGCACCACACCAGCCTTGCTGCCCACCAATGCCCTCGCTCAGTTGTTCCCAGCCGCCCAGCCTCAGAGAAGGCTGCCCTGGGTTTTGTATTCTTATTATCTCAATTTACACATTATACCTTAGAACTATGACAGTGCAAGAGCTATACTAGGCATAAAAAAGTGGTCCATGTTCAGTTATGCTTGTAAGAGTGATAGGTGCTGAGTCGCGCCAGAGCTGGACCGAGCTCAGAAAGTGGGTTGCTCGGGCGTATAATCCCAGCATTTTGAACTGAGGCGAGGAGGCAGGAGTTCGAGGGCAGCCTGGCCAATCGAAGCAAACAGGATTATATCTTTACAACAAAATGCGGTAGCTCACGTCGGTAAGCCCAGCATTTTGGTATACGAGAGCGCGCATGAGCGTGGATATGAAATGTCTTTGAAGCGTCCATGTGTAGTTATAAAACAGCCTGGCCAATCAATTATGGATTACAAATCCCTGTCTCCAACTAATAAATATTATATAAAAAATAATTGCCATGAGGCTGTTGGTATCAGTGCGTTGCACTGCCGGCACTTATTGCTTACCTCGCAATCTGGGGTAACACACGACCCTATATCAATAGCTAACCATATATTTCATATCATATAAAACATAGTACTTTGATGATGGTCTGGGTTTCTTCTTGCGCTGTGGAAGTGTATCATACGCAGACTT